ACATTCGGTTATTTTATGAGCTGTCATATTGGTAAAGTTGGCCCTCGGGGCATCTATCAGATATATCTCTCCATTTCTGAAACTTCTTCATTCACATTATAGCCGTCGTCTTTACAAAGTAATATCTAATTTTGCTAAAAGGAATATAAGTGTCTCTTTATGACACTTAGTTACTTCTTTTATGTTGGTTCCATATTTATTACCTGACTTTGGAGAATGGGGTAGTGCATTTTTTTAACAAACCTTTTTTGATTTTTTTGTAGTTAAAAATGTGAGTGGACATTGTTTTTTCTTCATTAAACCTGTTTTAAAAGTAAGCGACTACAAAAAAATATATTGGGGAGTTGCTTCCAAAGGTAATCTTCCCAATTTTTTATACATATTCATAATATATAATATATAAAATATATTATATTGTGAACAGTTTTAATTTCTTAAAATTATATTTTGTCAAATTATTAAAGTTTAAAGTTTTTTGGTACATTAGGTACAATTATTACAATAAACATTTTTACCAAAAATATCAAACAACAAAGATATAATATATATATATAATATATATATATAGATAAAGGTTTATATAAAAATAAAAGCTCAAATGAAAAATATTTATTTGTTTATGTAAAAAGTTTTTAGTTTTTTTACTAAAAACACAAGAAGGTCGATAATTAGAGGTTACAGATCTAATCGAGATTTTTTTCAACTACATTTTTTTTTGAGGTTTTGCTTTTTAGTAATTGACTTTCTTTTGTTTTTACATTAACCTTTTTATCACTGTTATTTATGGTCCTATTTTAAAAAAAAATTGGAATTGTTCGTTAAATACCTACACTTTTTTGAGTTAAACATTTTTAACAAAAATATAAATCAACTAAGATAAAGAGGTTTATATAAAACATTATAAACAACAGATCTTCATTAATCTAAAAACAGAAGCTTAGGTGTATTATACATTTTGTTTTTTTTAAATTTGACGTCAAAAATTTGGGGGTTTAGTTGGCAAATTATAGGGACCCCAAATTTATAATTGCCTTCATTGAGAAGTGGGGAATATAATTGTGGTTATGTTATAATTTTAAGAATATGTTTTAAAGAAAATAAGTTTTGAAATGTCAAATAGGTTGTTAAAAAATATATATATAAATATATATTAAAAATACCAACATAACCAAATTTGTAAAATCCCGAATAAAAAAACGATATATTTTTTCTACTCCTATTACGGAATTTGACAGTTCTAATATCACTTTTGTCTATGGAATGACATATATTCCTCGATATATTGATCATCGGATGACAGAATAAACACTCGTGGCGACATCTCTGTTTTTAATATCTAACAAATTTTAGACCGATCCAACCTCACTTTCTTCCAATTAAATTATTTTTCTATGGTATTTTTTGGAAACGTAGAAAAAGTATAGTCTGAAACACGTTTGGAATTGCATATTCCGCTCTCGTGAAACCGTCAAACTCGCCTTCGGCTCGTGTGGCAAACTCTTCACTCGAGCGGAATATGCTGTATTCCAAACTTGTTACAGATTATACTATTCTGTTACCATTGTCAAAAATTCGTCTTTTTTGTTGACATTTAAGTGTCAAAAGTAGCCTAATTTGTTGGACAAGGCAGAAAAGTATTTTAAATTTAATATGTTTATTAGGGTGATTCATTTCCGCAAAGTTTTTGTTTTTTTTCGGTGCTCAAGCAAAATATTAATCTACCTATAGAAAAAAAAATTTTCACCATGGTAGAGCTCTTAATATCAATTTTAAGTACTTGCAGTTTAAATTTAAAGTTTTCCCATTTAAAATGCATGTAAAAAAATGTTTTTTTTTTCAAATTTCTAATGCTTACCCACCTTTGACAATATTGCAAATCGGTTTAATACACCTTATGGGGAATTTCACGCTCTTTAAAATTGCTTTTGAGTTTTTTTTTGTAACTCGCATTGGTTCACCAGTAGGAGTCGTCAAAGGACAGTTTTTGAAAAAAATCTTTTTTTTTTTATTTTTTCGAGCAAATTGCCAAAAGTAGTGAGAAAAAAGGGCTGATTCATAAAAAAAAGTTATCCAACCAATATTTAATGAATTTACTGCCATTTTTATAACTGAAAACGTAAGAAATTGATAAATACCAACCTATAATGTTATTTAGATTGATTTTTTCTATTTATTATCATTATATTTCCCTCACTCATAATGAATATGAAAACAACACATAAATTCATAAAAAAAACAACAAAACTTTAATCGGAATATACAGAAGGTTATGTAACATATTTCAAATTTCGCTTCATAAAATTAAATAATCTTCATTTATATTTTTTTGCTATTTTTTTATGAATTTATCTGTTGTTTTCATATTCATTATAAGTGAGAAATTAATAATTTTAAAAAACTTCTTAGTGTAGGGAAATATAATGATAATAAATAGAAAAAATCAATCTAAATAACATTATGAGTTGGTAATTATCAATTTCTTACGTTTTCAGTTATAAAAATGGCTGTAAATTCATTAAATATTGGTTGGATAACTTTTTTTTATGATTCAGCCCTTTTTTCTCCCTACTTTTTGCGGTTTGTTAGAAAAAAATAAAAAAAAAACGATTTTTTTCAAATACTGTCCTTTGACGACTCCTACTGGTGAACCAATGCGAGTTACAAAAAAAAAACTCAAAAGCAATTTTAAAGAGCGTGAAATTCCCCATAAGGTGTATTAAACCGATTTGCAATATTGTCAAAGGTGGGTAAGCATTAGAAATTTGAAAAAAAAACATATTTTTTACATGCATTTTAAACGGTAAAACTTTAAATTTAAATAGTAAGTACTTAAAATTTATATTAAGAGCTCAAACTTGTTGAGAATTTTTTTTTCTATATGCAGATTAATATTTTGCTTGAGCACCGAAGAAAACAAAAACTTTTCTCCCTACTTTTTGCGGTTTGTTAAAAAAATTTAAAAAAAAAACGATTTTTTCAAAAACTGTCCTTTGACGACTCCTACTGGTGAACCAATGCGAGTTACAAAAAAAACCTCAAAAGCAATTTTAAAGAGCGTGGAATTCCCCATAAGGTGTATTAAACCGATTTGCAATATTGTCAAAGGTGGATAAGCATTAGAAATTTAAAAAAAAAACATTTTTTTACATGCATTTTAAATGGGAAAACTTTAAATTTAAACTGCAAGTACTTAAAATTGATATTAAGAGCTCAAACTTGTTGAGAATTTTTTTTTCTATATGCAGATTAATATTTTGCTTGAGCACCGAAGAAAACAAAAACTTTGCGGAAATGAATCACCCTAATGTTTATTCAAGAAAACAATTAATTTAATTTGTATTGTAAATTATATTAATACTAACATAAATAAATTTAAAAAAGTTTTGACACGCATGTCAAAATAAAATAATAATTATTGTAAATTTCAAAATTTTTTCTTTACAATTTTGGTAATTATTTATGAAATTATTATTTATTTATTTATAAAAACTCGCCTCCACCTCGTTATAAAAGTTCGTCATTCGTCCTTGTTGCATAAATTGCTATTACAAAACTAGAGCCTAATTTTTTCAAATAAAGGAAGAGATCGCCATCTATTTAATACACTGTGAACTAAGAACGCAAGCAGAAGGATTCGAAACTTTTCATAAGTTGGTTCCAAAAAGTTTCGCTAGAGGGAAAACTTTAATAGATGGCGTTGCAAACTCTAAATATCGATGTTTCGAAATGCTTATTTTTGTATTTTTATTAGATTTTTGATTTTAACCAATCCAAGTGGTGAGCTTATTTTAAAGTAGTTATGAGCATATTGACGTATTCTGGCCTATTATATTCCCATTTTTAGGTTAAGTCATTGTTTTTAGAGGTTGTAAAATCGAATAAAATTGCTTATTTGTTCCATTTTTAGTCAGTTCGTTAATTATAATTCGTTACATGACTCTTCAGGGGGGATCTTTAAATCTTCACATTGTCATTAAGGAGAAGGAAGGGGTCAATTTTGACTATTTTTAGCGTCACGAGATTTTTGGACGGCACCTAGGCATATAGATAAAGTTGATTGAATATATTTTTATTTTTCGTTAGTTTGAAAAAATATTTGGTTTGAAAAAAAAAAAGATCTGAAATAACCAACCAATACACACCACCAGTGGATCTGGAAGAGTATCCTTTTTTTAAATTTATTTATTTCATGTTAATAGGCTTGTAATTACGCAACTTTTTTTGTAATTTAACCGACCTCAAGGTCGGTTGTAGCTCTTTAAATAAAAACTATAGGATAAAGGATAAAATAAAAGTAATATTATTTAAAAAAATGCAATATATTGACTATATACATCATTATATATAATCTAAAATACATAGTACATATTATCCTTGTAGAGCTGCATCTAGTTACACGAATTTTACTTTGTACAAAACATCCTAAAATATCTAAAAAACTACTTTTGATTTTCTGTATAAAACTCTACTTTCATATATTCGTTTTTTCCATCATTATACGTTTTACATTATTATTATTATGTTCTAGGGTACTTTTTTGTTTAATTCATTAGGCTATAAGTAGTTTTTAATTTTTTCGATTATCTGGTGCCCTATATAACAAGTGACGAACATTTTATCTTATGTATGTTATCGTTAAGATGGAAATAATAATTTAATGTTTAAATAATTCAATGCGTTCCGGTTTAATTTCTTACAATATAACAAACAAAAAAACAATGAAAATATTCATAAAAATACGAAATAGAAAATTTTCACAATTGCACAAATATAATTTCGGATCTGGTCCAGGTTTCTTTGTCCAACAAAAGACAATATAATATACAATATATAACAACTTACAATAATAAAATAACTTTCATATTTTACATAAATATAAATTCGTAATTCGAAGCAATTTTTTAAATAAAGCAGTACTTAGTGTCTTCGTTTATAGTTGAAAGTTAAACTAACTAGTTTAATTCTAATAGACTATATATACACGAACATCGAAGAACAATTTACAACCAGTTGGGGCCCAGGCAGGCGTCCATGATGGCCATGGCGTCGGGCCGCTTCATTTCGTTGAAAATCTGTCGAATATCAGTCAGAGCCTTGCTATCCCTATTCCTGGCCTCCCACAGGTCCAGGATGCAGTCGGTGGGCGATGGTTTCGTTGCGAAGAAGTTGATGTACCTGTCGACATTAAGTGCTTGCGCCAGCATGCGCCAATCGTTGCCTTTCGCCGTGGGAGGGTCGAGGCATTGGCACAGCTGCTTGCGCATCGACTTGTTCAACCTGAAATTGAAGTCGTCGCACGTGGAAACACCCCTGTCCGTGAGGATAGAGTTCTTGGCGAGCTTCATCGAGAGCTCGTCCGGGTTGGCCGGCTGCAGCTTGAAGCTTTTGGCACTCTTCGGGGAATGGGAGAACTCGACCGACTTTTTCGAGTCGCTCGATTTGCTCGTTTCACTTTGTATCGTTATTTTTGGCACTAACTCGTTGTGGTGCAACTTTACCGAACTAGTCTTGTTGCTTATCGTCTCTCCGTCGTCTTTGCAGGTTATATCGAACACTTGCTGGTAGTCGAAGCCTTTTTGATTGATTCTTATTTTGAAGCTCAAGTGTCTGCTTACTTCCACGGCTTCGAGAGTGAAGGAGCAGTGTAAGCTGTTGCTGTTGGCTTGCCAGATTTGCCTGAAGGGGATTTCCTGGTAATCTGACGCGCTCTTAAGTTGCCAGCCGTCACTCAGACATTCTATGTTTAAGCACAAGTTGTTACCGCCATCTTGGAAGGTTACGGAACGCGGTTCGTCCAGTAGGTAGCCTCCGAGGCGTTTTTCCTGCCCGAAGACCGTCTCCATCGAACTATCAGTATCTTCTAGAATGTAGACTCTAATACTAAATTCAGAGGAAGATTGCAAGCACAATTTGGGCGAAAATACAGCCAACTTGAGTCTTTTAATAGCGTTTCCACTTACGGATCTACCGACAATTACGAATCTAGATAAGCATTCTGTAACTAAGTAGCAAGCGTCCTTGTCCAATTGACAATAAACGCTCGTGTTAATAGTTTCTTGTCCTAAAGTGACAGCGCTTTGCCACTGAGAATCGCTGCAATCGCTTTGAAGAACAGAAATAGACCAGTTATTCCTCAGCTCCGCACAGTGCGGTATCTTCAGGATAACCGACTTGTTCAGCGCCACGTTCGGACCGCAAGACACGACCGGGCTCAGCTGGGTGATGTTCTCCGCTAACTTTGGTCTGAAGCAGTCTTCGTTCAGGATCGAGAGGAAGAGTTCTTGTTTGCGGGAGCGAGACACAGCGCCCTCTGGTATCAGGAGGCTGACCCCGGACTCGGACAGGTTCAGGAAGGCTCCGCTGTGCGACACGGCGGAGCTGGTGTAGTTTCCGCTGGTCGTGGGGGTGGCCGCATAGGCGGCCGGCAAGGGGAGAGTCACCGCTTCGGTGGCCACTTCATAGGTGGAGTCAGCTGCAAAGATGGTGAGAATTAGAATACATTTTAAATGGCACTACATGATGTAGGAATTAAATGTTTGGGATGTAGTCTACATCCCAAACATTTAATTCCTATGTAAAGTTGTCCACTGCATCCGAAAATGGCGTCAGAAGTTATAAATAAAAGTAAAATGTTTTTAGGATCATGGGCACCAGGGCCCCTTCAACGTTGAAAATTAAAAAAATATATATAACATGGAAATGATATCGATCAAAAGCCTAAAATGATCAAAGAGTTCGAAAGTTATTCAAGCTCAAATAGAATATATTTTAAGTAGTATAGTAAGTTTTTCTTACTTTTTATGTAAAACTTTTGGATTTATTACATGTCATAGGACTTAGATCTATCATTTTATTTTCCATAAAAATAAATAATCCTTTAGTTACTGGTTTAACAAATTAATATTTTAATTAATATTTTTGTTTAGAATTCATTGCAAAAAATTCATTTGTATAACAAAAAAAGATCCTATGACAATTTGTATTAAGTCCGATGGTTTTACCGAAAAAGTAAGAAAAACTTAAAATTTACTATAAATAAGCTTAAACGAATATATTTATTATTATTAATAAGTAGAGATGGGATTTTAGGTTTCAAAATATATAAAAATATGTACCTAAATAGGTAACGTTTTTTCTTGTTATGGGTGAGAAAATTCTTAAATTATACTACTTTACGAATGAAAAGCAACTTTTAGGTGGTAAAATAATTAAATTTATTTATTTATTATTTTTATGATTGGAAAAATTTAAAATAACTCACGAAAATGTCTTGTAAAAACCATCATAAATTTTATAATTTTTGAATGCGGGGGCACATTTAAAATGTTTTTGTTAATAAGCATACAATTCCGGAAAATAACAAATTCACATTCATAATGTTAGAAAGGTTTTTAGTTGCAATTATGTCATGTTTTTTGATGGTAAAATTTAAAAATTTAGTTAATTTCTGTTAAAAATAAGAATTTATTTGAAATAGGTAAAATTACACTAGTTTAGGTAGTAAAATGTAAAAATTAGGCCCATTTCTCCTAAAACTATTGAATTAAAAAAATGTTTTTTTTTTCATTCGTGTAATATTAAATATTACAACTACTATTTAAAATTTGAATTTCCCGCATTGAAAAAAGTGATAGAGTTGGTAGAAGATGTCTTTTTGAAAGAACCAAAAATTGTATAGGCTTTCAAGCTTCAGCTTTAGCCCAGGGCCCCTGTTTGAGATACCTATAGTAAATATTTCATATTTCCCATGGATATTTATAATTTTATTTTTTTTTAATGAAAATCTTCTGGAACCGGTTTGTTATATAAGTTATCTGCTAAGGTTTAAGAATTTCCGGAAAAATGGAGGCGGAAAAAATTGGAAATTTTCAGAAAATATGACTTTTGCATTTTTATAATTTTTTTCAAAGAGTAATACGAAAAAAATGCGAAAGTCAATTTTTCTGAAAATTTACAAATTTTTATGTATGATAATATATAATAATATTATGAAAATAATAATTATTCCTTTTATTTTAAGTAAGAATATACTGGGCCGCAAAAAAAACATTTTCGGTGCTGTATTAACATAACTTTCGTTTTATTTGACACGATTTATAAATAATAATTTTGAAATTTAACTTTACAAATCATTTTTATTTTGTGATTGGATAATTTAAATGGACTTCTTTTTGCAAAAAAGACTCAACCGGCAGTATATTTAACGTTTACGTTTATTTTCTTAAATCAATTCAATATTTAGGTTTTATTTGCAATAAAGGATATTTTCATATTTTCATATTTTCATATTTTCATCAGTCACGTTCGAGTGCTCGTCAAAGTTAGTCGCATCTTGCATCTTGCCGTCGCGCTCTTGAAACTTACAAACAGCAATGCTCGCAATGATTGCTTATAAAGTGCAAATAGTCTGTAGTATGGCAACTAGTGTTTCTGTAGTCCACCCTAAGGTCAGGGAAGTGTTGAAGTTGAAGTGTAGAGTGACACCTTACGGGTGGTCCAAAAACTCTTAAAATGTAATTTAGATGAAACCAACACTAATTAAAAAAAAGGGGTGTGAACTGATAAGTGAAACAAACATTTTCATGGAGTGCAAGCTAAATGGTGTAACGGTCTTTGAGGAGTGGAGTGTTGGGTGATATGAATGACTTGGGTGCCACCTGTCATTGGAGGCTTTTCACTGGACGGACGGGGGAGGTCGGAGAAGAGGGGAGGTGGCCATCCGCAAGGGGAAAAATCTGATAAGTTTTACTTTAAGAGTATGCATGACCTGATACAAATCTGCAATACAAATACGGCAGATCCCAGCAAGCATTTTCCGTTATTTGTCACCATTAACATTGCCCGTATTCATTTCATTAAACATAACATTTATTTTACTTGAAAATGTTAAAATAACTTTAAAATATGATTATGTTAAGAACATATTTTACTCTTTAAACAATTGTTTTGTTTTTAATTACTATCATTGCAAAATTGTATTAAAAAGTGTTAAAAATTCTTACACGGGCAATGTTGATGGTGATAGGTATCGTTAAAGTGTTTATTGGGATATCTTTAAAACCTATGAAGGGCACGCGGCGTGGGGCAATAAGTCTGTCAACAGCAAATGCGTAAGGCGGTCCCAATCGAGACCGAAAATAAACACTGGACTGACAGAGTAAACTAACATTGATCACATAATTCTAACACATTAAAAAAAAGGGCCTAACAGCCAAACTCGAGATTTGTAAACATTAGACAACAGAATAATCGCGCTTGTGATTTGTTTGACTAGTGAATAAATGCAATGCTTTGGAATTTGATAAACAAAGACGGAACTCTACCACAAAACGTGCTTGGGACAAAAATTATTAAAAACAACTGACACACTTTACCAAGGGCAGGGACTATCTGACCAGGACACGGACAATGACAATAACGAACAAGACAAAGACCTGGACTAGGAAACTACACCCCTGCAGCGAAATAACAACTCCCCAACTCCAAATAGTAATCCCAAATGTTTGGAGTAATACTAATCGACTGGTCTAGGGGGATTCCGCGTCGTACTTAGTTTTAAGTCGGCGTAATTGTCCCCCAAAAACCAACTCCCTCCCGTCCCTCATCCATACCCCACCGAGCGTATATCATAGGCTCGGCGAACCCGGGAATGGCTATTATAACTATTCGCCTCTCGCTCTCGAGCCCCAAATAGGGGACAGTACGGAACGCAATGGACATTCGCACCCAGCAAACACGGGTGAAGCCGTGCAGTTGCTGGGGAAGAACAAAAATCGGCGTAAGTAAACATAGGCCTGTACGGGGTTCGAGAGTCAAGAGGAAATGGGGCTGGTTATACGTCTCTTATACTCATACTACTACTCATACTCATAAAGGATATTTTCATAAAATTAAAATATTGTTTTTCAAATGTGTATATTTTCAAAAAAAATAAATAAATAAAATGTCAGTATGAGTTTGTCAAATCCGAAATAATGGACTAACAACCGTTTAAATCAGGTATAGAAGCAGTTTTTCACAGTGAAAGTGAAGAGGAAGTTTTTATAGGTACTCCAACCAAAATTATTAATAATTTATAGTGTGATATTCGTTAAATTATATTTTGACGTAACAACAAAGAAAAATGTTAAAAAACTACGGCGTTTGGATTTTGCGGACAATTTTATATGTTAAATGTCTGGGACCCAAATTGCTGTCAATCAGTGTCATTAATTTGAATGAAATATTACTTACAGTGGTTGGTGAATCCGCTGAGTTGGCTTCTTTTTCCACTGGACGATTCCAATGTTGAACTGGTGGCAGGTGACATTTGTATGTCGCTACCTGAAGCCAAATGAGGAACATCGTAGTGGTGTTCAGACACGGATCTGGTTACACTTGCAGCTGGTGTATTATAGGGATATTCGTAGCACGGTGGTACAGTTTGGGTTAGATCAGGAGGCAGATTGAGAGATTTTTTATCGTGATCCGGAAAATATTCGGGATGGTAATCTGAAAGAAAAAAATTTAAAATTAATAGGTAGAAGAAATAATAATGAGACTGTCAAAGTGGAATAAATGATGTGTTGAAATCACTCTAGGATAGATTAATTGTATTGACCCTTGAATTTAAATGTAAATGATTGATAATAGCATAAAGAAAAAGTCATTAAATCCAGGCTTCCGTTTGCATGTTAAAGTACAGTTTGAAGTTGCCTTCATCAATTTTTATTAAACTCTTACTTTATCATTGCTTCGTTTAACAAAACGATTATTATAAAAGGAATTAATTTTGCGTCAAAACTGGTACTTGGAAAATTCAAATTAATTCGGCTACAACCTTGAAAGAAATTCGTAACGAGCGTAAACTGTTTACGTTAATTTTTTAATAGGAAGCCGACGCGTCGAAAATTTTATTTATCTTCGATATAAATAAGATTAATAAGAGTTGTGAGAGCGTGAAGTGATAAATGGTGTGGAGCGTTTAAAAAATACTCTGCATAAATATAAACGTCAAATATGCTTTAATTGCAATGTTTACAGAAATAAACCGAGGGCTTATAATTCATATTTTCGAACACCAAATGGTTTCCAGGCAAAGTGCCATCAAAAATAATCACCTGAGATACAGATATATGGAAGAATTAATTAAAAAGAAGTTTCTAAATTTGTGTTTTTACACTGTTATAAAAATCAGATTTGTTAACATGAGTTTGTAGTTTGTTAATTTTATTTTGTAAAATTTTAACATAACTTTTTGTAAAAAAAAACAGGGGTCAACAAAGGAAAATATTTTATCAAAAGTTTTGTAAAGGTAATATGCAATTTTCAAAGGTTACAGATTATTGTGTTAAAGTTTAACAAATTATTTCTTTGAAAAAGTACAAGTGGTTTCAGGCAAAAATCAGAACATTTCCCACTGAGAATATGCATCAACAAGTTCAACTGACTTCAGCGTCTACAACTTATGTTTCTGTTTACTTTATTCTAATTCGTAACGTGTCGTAACAATTGCCCAGAGTGTTTATAGTGTTTATTACCAGAAATCTGTTATTATTGTTAGTCGGATTCTTTATACCTATTTAACGAGTATCCGAAAAAAATGCCATCACACTGAGAAAAATAAATTTGTTAAATCAAAAGTTTTAGAAATGCTAAGCCTTTTGATTAAAACAATAAACATTTTGTTGGCAACTTAAATTTTAATTTTAATTTATATTTTGAGAATGTCAAATTAAAAATGTTATTTTAATAGTCAATTTTATGTAAATCAGTATATTAACACTAAACGCATATTGAATAAATATTGTTAATAAATTTGATTAAATCACTTTTCTATTCGTTAAAAGGATACACACACACACAAATTAAACGAATAAGTAAAATTATTGAAGTGACGTTATTTTGTATTTTGCCTTTACAAACTAAGAATATTGAGTCAAAATATCTTTAGTAATTATTCTAAAATTGCAAGATATTTTGTTAACATTTTAATCCTATTACTTCGATGTAAAGATAATTTAACCTAGAGTAAGACTGTTAATTCAACTCATAAAGAGAGTTAAATGAATTGCTAAAATGTTGTATATTACGTCGTTTTTACAGTAAAAATGGTAAGTGATTATTGTATATTATTTTTTAGAATACAGAATGCCTTTAATATGTTTAATATTATTGTTTTGTAATAATTGAATATGAAGCTAAGTTTATAGTGATATTTTCTCGCGTTACCATGCTTGTGACATGATTATTACCTACCTACATGTAATAAGGTTAATAATAATAATAATAAACTTAATTGTAGGCATTCCAAAAGGTTTAAAGAAATAAGAGGAATACAAAAAAACTATTACGGTTAAGTGCATATTCAAATAAACTTTTGTTTGTTGTTAAAACCAGGGATTAAAAAAATCATGATTGTTTTTAATAAACCGAATTTTTTTTATGAAAATCAGATTTTTTTAATTTTAATTAAATTTAGAATAAAAAAATTCATAAAAAGATAAAAAAAATTGATTTAAATCTTAAATTTTATGTTTAAATAAATTTGTATTTTATTCAAACTTTCCAGTAAGCTACATTGACATACTTTTATATTTGGTTTAATTATCCAATATTTTACATAAAACATTCTTTTTTAAGTAAAATTTTTTGAATCAATATTTTAGTTGTTTGATGTATGTATGTAACAATTAATTTTTTTAACCTTTATATTTATTTATCCAAGTACTTTTAAAGATTAAAACTGCTTTCCATTTCACTACTAATTGTGCAATAAATTATTATTGTTAATAATTTGATTAAATATTACGATAGGTAATAATATTTTAATAATCCTTGATTTTATTTTAATACTTTTAGTGGTTGGACCGAATATTTTAACATTCTTGAATGGGTCTTTTAACTCCAAGTAAACATTGTTTGTATTGTAGGTATGTGGAAAAACTGTTGATTTAATCATTTATTGGTTAATTTAACCAGTGCACTAAAGTGGGTTAAAGTTAGGAATTACACCAGTAGTACTGATAATTATATTGTATCAAATTTCTTTATAATTGGATGATTCCAGAATGGTGAGTTATAATTAGGGATGGGATTTTAGTTATTTTACCTTTTTTCAACCGATGTAACTATTTGAAAACCAATAATGCCAAAATGTGTTTTAAAAGATTTTATTTTATATGAACCTAACTTGTTTTCACCTTTTTTACCTTTTTTGGAGGTTTTTGCTTTAAACTACCTTTTTTATACTTTTGGTACCTATTTTTTAACTTATTTTAACCTTTTTTACCTTTTTTGGAGGTTTTAGCTTTAAACTACCTTTTTATACTTTTGTTACATATTTTTTAATTTGTCAGTTTATTTTCACATATTTTTTACCTATTATTACGTATTTTTACTTATTTTATTATTTTGTGTTCTTTTTAAATTTTGCGCCAATATTTTATCCAGGGCGTGCAACTCAACGGTATAGAGTTTCTTCTTATGGTCACAGACTGTAACAGTAACTTTCTTTACAGTTACCTTCTTTGTAGTGAGTTTATGTTCTGTCATAGAACTTCTGTGTAGTGAGTGTCACTCAGTGAAACACAGTTTATTGCATAGAAATAGTTTATTGTGGGTATGTTCTGTGTTTGGGTATGCGGCTAAACAAAATTATAAACGAAACGTGAACTTTTAATGTTTTTTTACCTAAAATGCTGTTTTTTTAACCTAAAATGCTTTTTTAGTACCTTTTTAGTTACCTATTTTTCAGTTTTTAGTACCTAAATATCCCATCCCTATTTATAATTACAGTTTGTAATTTACAAACTACTTATGTAATTGGTTAAAAGATTACAGTTGGTTGTAAACTTAACATAATGTTATGTGGACCTAAATTAACATAAAATCTGGTTAATATTTAGTTAAAATTAACAAATATTTTTTTAATGTGTACACTTCAAATTTTAATAATAATCCTCAGGACAATACGTATTGTTCGGATGATTTTAAGGGAACTTTGCTCAGTCTGGCGTACAAAATAGATAGTCTGTTTTATGAATCCGTCAGGCACACCCGAAGAATTTCAAATAATAGAACCAAAAACAACAAAATAAATTCACTTCGTCCGCTGATAGCGCAGCGTATTTATTTATTCGTGCATCTAGAAAATACATAGTGTAAACCCATTTTTCAATTTTAAGGCGATTCGTCCATAAAGTAGATAAACGAAAACCACGTGGCCCGAATTTTCAGCTTTATTGGCTGAATTTACATGAAACAGCTGTCCGATACCGAATACCTCCATAAATAATCTTCTCTAAACGGTTTAATCGCTGTGTAAAGCAAATAAAAAAAACATTAAAAAGTTACTTTCGGGTATAACTAATATTAACCCACCGGGAAATTAACAAAACATATCGTAAATAATTGACGTCCAATTAAGGAAAATATTTTAGTTTAATGTGGATATTACTATCCTTAAAATTAGAAACATGTGCAAAGCAATGTTTTTTTGTCCCAACATGTTTTTTATTTTACTATGTTACATAACTTCTTAGGGTGATGTGTAGTATACTTTTAAATAGTCTTTTTTGAAAAATACGCAAAATAAGTTTTATAATTATTATTATATACTTATAATTATATAGAGTAAAACCGAATATAGGGAAACGTATGGGGCGTGGCCTCGCCTCCCTCCAACGCGCGACACAGTAGCTAAGCAAAATAGCCTGCATCGCTAATGAAATTTTTTGCATTAATATCATTTAATTTTTTAAGTTGTCTTACCTGCTCGACCTTTCGTCATGTCGTTTATCACACAAGCTACTGTGACGCGCCTCGGAGGGAGGCGAGGCCACGCCCAAAACGTTTCCCTATATTCGGTTTTACTCTGAACGGGCTGTATATTATATTCCAATTTTTCGTTTTAAATATCAAATTAAACCATTTGTTTGTAAAACATGGAAAAATGGAAAACACAAAATAATATGGAACTTGAATGTTTTTGTTGAATTTTTTGTATTATTTGTAAAGTCATGACCAATAAAAAAACAAATCAGGCACAAATACTAAAAAACATTTGCTTCAGGGATGAGTGTACTTTTTATATGTTAGTTTATTGGTGTTATTATAAAAAACTTTTGTTGATATCAAACAATAAATGTCTTATTCTATTGAAATATTTTTTTTGTAAACCACTTTTTTCAGTCAATCTTTTAGTTTTCAACGATGCCAATATTTAGGCTTAAACTCCTCTCACTAAGGTCCTTGGTTTTAATTGTTAAATGCATGTTTTAATAATTAAAATCACAAGGCCTATGTGGTGAGGGGAATTTAAGCTTAAATACTAACAACGCTGGTAGTTTCAGTGAAGATCAGAAGCTTTTGAATAAAGCAATATATTGCTTGTATATATACTATTGAAGCAAGAGATATTTGCTCTAAAATCAAAATAAAATGTGGTTGGGTCAATAGTATATGCTTTTGTAGCAAGACAAATTTTCTTTCTTAGAAAGTTCCTAAGCTTT